CTGTCTCCTCATCTGTACAATGGAGTTGGCCCAGGAGGCACACTCACAGTAGATAAGGACTGATCAAGGTACAGTACCAGAAGACTTAACAAGGTGTCTTAGTCATCTTGCTGTGAAGAGACACCATGACCATGGTATCTCTTATAAAGGAAAACATTTCATTGGGGATGGCTAATAGGTTCAGAAGTTCAGTGCATTGTCGGCATGGCAGGAAGCATGGTGGCATGCAGCCAGATATGGTGCTGGAGAAGGAGCTGAGAGTTCTACATCCTGATCTGAAGGCAGTAGGGAGAGAGAGAGACAGTAGGCCTGGCTTGAGCATTTGAAAGCTCAAAGCCCACGCCTGGTGACACACGTCAACAAGACCACACCTCATCCTTTCTCAAGTAGCACCAATCCCTAATGACCAAGCATTCAAATCTGTGAGCCTATGGGGCTGTCCCTATTCAAGCCACGACACAAGGAGGAAGACATGCTGTGTTTTGAGGGACAAACAGTTCTTCACATAGAGGACTTCACACAGTAGTTAATGCCACTGTGGTGGGGGTCATCTTTTCAGTAGACTGTTCACTGTGCTTATGGTTGCTAATTGTCACCTTGGCAGAATGCAGAATCACCTGAAAGGCATGCCTGCAAGGGATTCCATCAACTGAGGTGGAGAGACCCATTTTAATTGTGAGTGGGACCATTCCTGGATCACAGGGGTCCTGACTGAAGAAAACAGGCGGAGCGAGCTGAGCCCTAGCATACATCCATTTGCCTTCTGTTTCTTGACTATGGACGGCACATGGCCAGCTGCTTCAGGCTCCTTCCTGCCATGCTCGACGGCACGCTTGAACTGTGAGCCAGAACAAACCCTTTACCTTGGGCTGCCTTTTACTCAAAGTAGTCTAACAAAAAGAATAAGTATCAAAACACTTATTATATTATTATTATTATTTAATGAAAGGCTGTGCACACTCTGAAGATGCCATGTATGACAGAATAAAGAAATGACTTTTTTTTTCTGGCAGGTTTGGGGGTTAAGTTTGGGGCCTCGTGCATGCTAGGCAAGAGCTCTGCCACTGAGCCACACCACCAGCTCGAAACCCTAAATGATTTCTGAAGAATTATTCAAAGGTGCTTACTAAAAATCTTCGAAATTGCCGGGCGGTGGTGGCGCACACCTTTAATCCCAGCACTTGGGAGGCAGAGGCAGGCAGATCTCTGTGAGTTCGAGGCCAGCCTGGGCTACCAAGTGAGTTCCAGGAAAGGTGCAAAGCTACACAGAGAAGAGAAACCCTGTCTTGAAAAACCAAAAAAAAAAAAAAAAAATCTTCGAAATTAATTTCTACATTTCCCCCCAATGTTGCACATTCCTACAGCTGAGGATGGGCTGTGTCTTTCTAAGCTGCAATCAAAAGCTGTGCTTTTCTTGGGAAAAGCTTCCTCCCTCTTGCAGCTCTGGGTTCCCAGATGTAAGAAGGCTGCCACCCAGTCAGTGATTCACAACACAATTGGAATCTCTGGGTGTGGTCCCAGCACTTGCCTTTAGAAGTTTCCCTGAGGACCTCATGGTATAGCCAGCTGGGGACAGCTGTCAGTAGATACTAACCTGAGAGGAGGTGCTGCTGCTGTCTCGATTCTATCTCTTCTGTGTATTAAGCTTTTCTGATGGCGATGTTTAAAGACAGGGCTCAGCCAGACACTAACATTTGACACCTCTGGGACATGAGCCTGTGAGGGCTACCCCTCGGTGTCCAGAGACATGTGCCTGTGAGGGCTACCCCTCGGTGTCCAGGGACACGTGCCTGTGAGGGCTACCCCTCGGTGTCCAGGGACATGTGCCTGTGAGGGCTACCCCTCGGAGTCCAGGGACACGAGCCTATGAGGGCTACCCCTTGGTGCCCTGGGACACGAGCCTGTGAGGGCTACCCCTCGGTGCCCAGGGACACGAGCCTGTGAGGGCTACCCCTCGGTGCCCAGGGACACGAGCCTGTGAGGGCTACCCCTCGGTGTCCAGGGACACGTGCCTGTGAGGGCTACCCCTCGGTGTCCAGGGACATGTGCCTGTGAGGGGTACCCCTCGGTGTCCAGGGACACGTGCCTGTGAGGGCTACCCCTCGGTGTCCAGGGACACGAGCCTGTGAGGGCTACCCCTCGGTGTCCAGGGACACGAGCCTGTGAGGGCTACCCCTCGGTGCCCAGGGACACGAGCCTGTGAGGGCTACCCCTCGGTGTCCCTCCTCTCCTGCATGGCCCAGATCCTGGTGCCCCTTCTGCATCGTGTCCCCGCATGCTGTATGCTGGCCCACATCACTCTCCTTTCCAGGCAGGTACGTCACACCCCAGTATAGCAGCATAGCCTCATAATGAGGATTTTGAACACCTTGCTATGAATCATGACAGAGTACCCGGTGAAGGGCCAAAGGTATTTGAGATCCCCTGGGACCAAATGTGAGCTATTACCAAAACGAGACTCCACTTAATAGGGGATAAATCTTGATATTGTTAACTTTAATATAGTTTGATGGTTGTAAATCCAGAGAATCCACCGTAGGAATTTGCTGTGTGTTGCTTTTATGAAATATTTGGTCAGGTGTTTCTTTTAAAGGTTCAGCTTTTCTCATAAGTGCTAATTTTTGTGGGCTTAACAAGAGAATTTTATACTGATGTCAAGTGTGCTGCCTGTTCGGGGCCTTTAAAAAGGAAAAGATATTTGTTTTAGAGAATGCAGTGACAGCCAAATCAAGAAGTGGATTATTTATAGAAATGTCCTTAAGAACAAGAGGCCTTAAAGCAGCGTAATATTTAGACTGCCATATGAGGAGGGAGTCCGCCCATGAGGCTGGGAAACAACTTTAGTGTGCTAGCCGCTCGGGAAGCTGGGAGTTCATTATGCCACGCGTGTTCATTTTCTGTGGCCCATAACAAGCCCCCATGCTTAGTGGCTCAGAAGACATGTGTATTAGCTCACACTCTCTCTGTTCCGGAGTCCCAGTCCAGCCTAGCTGGGGTCTGTTCCAGAGTCTCCAAGGCTTTAGTCAAGGTTTCCCGTCTAGCGTTGGACTCCCCCCGGGCTCTGGCTTTATTCACGGCCCACCGCTGCTGGTAGCTTCCACCATCTCTTAGATGCAAGTACCTGGCTGCTTGCTGCCCACAAGCACCCTGCCCCCAAACTTCATAGCTATCTTCTCAGGAAGGTCTGGATTGGCTTCTCAAGAGTCTTCTCCATCAGCCTATCTAGGTCATCTCTATCTCCATGAATTGCAGTCCACTGAGCGGGAACCGATGCGTAACCCTTCTACTTTTGCTGAGGAGGGTAGGCCTGCCACAACAATGGAGGCCATCACCTTCCTGGGCCCCACTCACACTCACAGGCGGGGTGTCAGATAAGGAGGCTGCCTGCCATCTGCCTACTGCACCGCGGAGTGAAGCTGACCTCTGTTGAGCTTCACTTCTGAAGGGACCCGAGTTGCAAACTGTTTCACAAGAGGGGCATTGCCAGCCCCAGTGAAATGTTAGGGTTAGAATATGTACCCTGGGCAGGCAGGAGACACCAGGATGAGAGAGCGCAATATGGAAACTGTCACCAAGGCCTCATCTGTGTCAACTCAAGATAGACTGACCACAGTGAATCGATGTGAACCAGAAGAGGTGCCACGGCCACCACTCAGCTTGCTTTCTTTGGATCCCTGTGCCCAGTGAACAGACTGAAATCGTTGGGAGCTCACTGCTCACTGTCTTTCCTGAGCCTTACACCTCAGAGCAGCCATAGCCATTGTCTTTGGATTAGGAATGGATGTAGCTTTCACATTCCACTCTTCCAAGACCAAAAGCCACCACAGCCCATGGTCCTTATTTGTGAGAATTGGCAATTTGACCCAATCTAGAATCACGCAGGAGAAGGACTTCTGAGAATGTTTTTGAGGGATTATCTTAATTAATCGGTGTGGGAAGTCTCCCCCACTCTGGGTGGCACCATTCCCGAGGTGTGGAATTCTGACCCCTAGCCGTGGAGAAAGCCAGCTGCACACTGGCATGCATGCATTCATTAAGTCACTGCTCTCTGCTTCTTGCCTACCGATGCCTTCGAGGTCTGGTTGCTGTGTCCCCACAGTGATGGACAGCAGCCTGGAACTATGAGCTAAAAGAAAGCTTCCCTCCCTAAGTTGCTTTTGTCATGGTATTTTATCACACCCACAGAAACAAAACTAAGACCCATGTCCCAGACTAGTGTCCTTTGTAGGGACAGTGCCCCCATCTACTTTGAATCTCCACCTTACCCTGCTGATCACTTTGTTTCCCAATTAACACAGAATCTACTCGCAGTCATGTAGGACGGGACAAGTTTTTGTTTTTGTTTTTGTTTTTTTTTTAATGGATACTGTGGATCAGTGGAAAGTGACTGGCCGAACCCTCTGCCCTGGCAGCCAAAGAGGATTCTGCGCTGTTGTGATTGCAAAAGCAAGGAACTAGGGGGGAGGGGCAGAAAAATCCGTCTATGAGAAAGTGTTTTTAACGTCAGCAAATGCATTGCAATGCCATTAAGAAAGTTTTTTTTTTTTTTCTTAAGGACACATTCAACTTGAGGTTTTTAATTTGTTTGAAGTATTTTGCTAAAACAGAATTATGCTGGAGTTTATATAAAAGCAGAAAAAGACATGAAAAGTTTTAACTTAAGCAGCAAAATATAGAGGCTAATCTTATTTAAAAGTAATATGTATGTCTTGATTGAATGCCCAGATACGCTCAACTGGGACTTTTTAGTGGGATCGGTCTGAGCTGTTACACTGAGTTATACCAAGAAGGTTTCCCTAGGCTTATATTGCCAGACCTGAAATACTCTTGTGGCTGCATTTAATAACGAATTGAAAGTCTTGAGTAAGGGGATATGATTTTTTATGACAGAAGGAATGCAAATAACTCTTAGTCTCATTGCCTTGACCGGGTTTGGTTTGATTTGACGGAGTTTAATAATGACTTGTAACCTGTGATGACAATATGCAGGCCCGCACAACGTCATTTAAGTCATTTATTCTGCATGCTGTAAAAACAAAGAGATGGCAAATAAATACCCAGGACGTTCATTGTTTGTCAGAGAGCCCAAGCCAAGAGTTTTCAGTGACCTTTTAAAATATGGTCCCAGGCTAGTACTAAAATGTCTGTCACTCAACACACACACTTGCACGCTGTGGCCTTTTAACCCATGCAGCTTGTGTTTTTCTCTTTCAAACGGGCGTATGAATTTCCAATCAGCTGCAGCGACTGGGGTTTTTGCATGGGAGGATTACTGTAAATTGCAGACTGACAATTACAATACGCAGGGCACTGGCGAGTTATTAATGGGCTCGCCTACCGATGGCCTTTCAGCGCACCCTCAGACCCGCGGAGCTGTGGTCTAATTGGATCCAGGGGTTCAGGCCCCCGTGGAGGGGATGAGGCGGCGGGGAGCAGGGCTCTGAGACCCCCACCCCCTCCCAAGCAAAGGAAGATATCAATTGATCACAGAGGGCTCCTGCCCGCCATGGCTCTTATTCACTCTCTCTGTAATGACTTGTATTGGCTTAAGGAGCTCTGCGTGATTTGACAGCATCAAGTTCAACTGACAAAGACCAGCAGGTGACTTTAATTGAAGACTTCTATGGCAAGAGGTTTTATGCAAGACAGAGCAACAGTCCACAGACACAAAAGAGGCCTGGAAAAAAGAAAGAAAGAAATAAAAGTAAAGGAAAAGAAAGGAACAGAAAGCGCTCAGCATTTCTAGGAGACTGAGGCCAGACCCTAGGCTAGCTACTTCACTGTGGTTTCCTCTATGCTTTTCACCTTGTCAGTGGCGGGATGGGAGGGGGACCCACTCTGCGGCCCCCTTTGCCCCAGCAAATTCTGCAGCTGCCTCTCCTCTCTTGGGTTTCAATATTTATCTTTGGGGATGAATTATGTCCAGGCATAAATTATGTTTGACACATCTTGATGCTGGGGGGAAAAATTAAATTTTTCACTGCTCTGAGAAACATTCCACAGACCGTATCACGCTCGTCGTGCATCCTGAGAGAACCAGCGTGCTGTTTGGTTTTACAAAATTAAATGGACGGCCTGTCTGAAGCGTTGGAAGGGTCGGAGGATAACGATCAGTGAGTGAATGAATCAGAAAAAGATGACCGTGATAGGCCGACAGGCTTGAGCCCTGGGACAGAGGAGGGCTAAGCTGGGCCAGCCAGGGAGCACCTCCTTCTCTGGAGCTATTAGAGACCTCTAGCCAAGGCCTTTGTGTTTGGAGGACCAAGCAGGCTGAAGGCATGGTGTCATCAGGGAGTGGGCAGCTGACATCCACTGGGACCTGCTGTTAGCTCTTGGTTAGAGCACAGGAGGAACTATAACCTCTTTTCCTCTTGCTCTAGCACCTGGGGATGCCCTATCCATAAGTATCTGCTCACCTTCCCTTCTCTTCCCCACACCTCCACCTCCCTACTTCTCGCCATTGCCCACACACGCTGGATCTTTTTATGCCTCTCACTTTTTTTTTTTTTTTTAATTTCTCCCTTCTGTCTCCTGCATCTTCCAAACTCGTACTCACCCTTCGAGACCCAGTTTGGCCAACTCTTCCAGATAGCATCCTCTCCTTGACTTTCTTCTGTGTGGTCTGATTCCAGAGCCTCTACTCTCCAGAGTAGAGAAGTACTTAGATGCCCACAAGAGCCAGCCAGAACACAGTTTGTACCCCTGAGAAGGTTCCACAGTCCCCAAACATTTGAGAGGAAGGAATGCTGAGTTCTAGTACAAGGTGGAAGGGGAAAGAGAGACGGAATTGGGATCACCCTGAGAGGAGGGTTGTCCTTGAGGCTGGGCAGGCCCTTGGGCTGTGTGGCAGGGGTGGGGGTGGGGGGTGGTAAGCTGTCCTGCATAGAGCCCAGACTCAAGAAGTCCACTGGGCACTGATGCCAACTGGTGGGGGGGGGTCAGGAATGCTGCCAAGGCCCGCAGCTTTGGAATGGTGGATCACTAAGCGATGAAGGGGCTGGTCAGCCTTAATTGCCAGCTCTGTTCCAAGCAGGTTGGCAGATGCCTTTCAACCGAAACTGGGGCAAATCCACACCCTGCCACAGCCTTGGCCTCTGCTCTGGGAATAGCCCCCTTCTACCTGCCTGGCTCCTGCATACATCTTCAGGGCTTTGTTTGTTTGTTTGTTTTTGTTTTTGTTTGTTTTTTTGGGCTGCCAACCGTAGCCTGGGTATCTATCTGCCAGGGTTTTTGTGCCGTTTGAGGCTGCCCTCTCCTCTCCCACTCTACGATGCAGCCCCTGGCCAATTCCCACTCAAAACCTCAGCTGGCCCACCATGGCTATCAAACTGCTGCATCCATCCTCCTTATCCCCTCTCGCAGTCCCCTCTTCCTCACTCAGGGCTGAGCTCCACCCCCTGCCTTTGCGTTCTTGCCCTGTGCCATTGAGGAGCGGACGGTGGGCTGGAGAGGGGGGACGTGGGGTGGAGTGCACACAGCACAAGGGGGAAACATGAGTTTTGGGAGGTGAACAGGCTGCTGTGGAATCGCATAAGAATCTGGTCCTATATGGTCACAAGTTACTTTGGAACTGCGCCTGAGCTTCGCGAGCCTCACTACGGAGGTGAACCCAGCAACAGCTGAAGACACACTATTAAGCTCAGCCCAGGATCTTATGCAGGGCAGATGTAAAAGGAACAGGTCTAGGACTAGGGCACAACCTGTCGTATAGACAACTGTGTATCGTGGCCAGCTACCCCATGCCAAAGTGGGGTGCCTCCATTTATTTTAGAGTGACTTCAGATTCATTCTTCCTAAAGGACCTGCCCCCGGGAACTATGAGCCCCAAAGCTGCCCTAAGCTGCCAGGCAGGCTGGGGAATAATTGCTCCATGAGGCACAATGGCTGGGTCAGTCATTCAGTGACCAAATTGGTCCCCTGGATGTCATCATCACCTTGGCCACTCTCCTGGCAGCCGCAGCCACGCAGAGGGCCTCATTAGGCAGCCGTGGGGAAGGCAGTCAGCCCAGGCTGTCAGATTTGCTCTGCCAGGCATAATTCAGCCTTTGGCTGAGACATGCGCACTAGGCTCCCTCTCTGGGGCCCTTGGGTGGCTTGAAGTCATCTCTGTCCCTCCTCTCTTTACCCAGGGAGGAAGCTTGCAGAGGAGGGGGCAGACTTTTAAACTTCTCCCAAGGATATGCACAAACGGAGTTTCCCTGTTTATTCCTAACTCCATCCCTGAAGTTGAATCTTATACTTCTAAGTGTCCACTTGCACTTGGTCAGCCAATGAGGGTGGGTGGTGGTACACAGTTGGGGGGAGGTGTAGGTGGGAAGGGTAAAAAGAAAGCATAAGCTTGCAAGTGCTCTGTAGTAAGCTTGTTCCTGAGGATACTGGGCCCTGTTGCCTCCCATGCTGGAGCCAGTCTGACCCCAATGACAAGGCCCTAGGGAGAGGCAATCAGAAGGAATGGCTATCAAGGGCCTGGCAGCTAGAAGCCTCTCCCCTCGGTGGGATGTGTGGGCACAGCCCAGAGCTCCAGGCCAGCACATTAGTGGGGGACTGTAAAGGATGCTTCTTTCCCCTTTCTCAGGGAAGCCAGTGAATGTCTCCTTCCCTTCCCACCACAGAGTGAGGAGGAGAGAACCAGCTGAGATTTGAGGATCCTCCCCAGTGTAACCTGTCATCTCCTCTCCCCAAAGGAGTTTCCGGCCCAGAAGACCCAAGTGCCAGGAGAGAAAGTGACCATCCTGCTCATCAGAGGAGGTGGAGAGCATCATGCCCTGCAGTCACTTCCGATGCAAGCAGCAGCTTCCACCCTTGTCTCTCATGGACTGAAATGTCTTCTCAAGATCTTTTGATTGAAAGCAGGCTCTCTGCAAGATGAAGTAGACACGAAGGGTTTTGGGAAGCAGTGTCTAGGTGTGAGGAGCAGAGGGTGTGGGGGGGTGGGGAAGAAGAGGTGGCATGAGGCAGGGAGACAGGCAGAGGCGAGTAGGGCATGGGAGGAAGACTCCCCGAGTCTGGAGACCTGCTGTTTGTGGTACCCAAGACTGAGATGGCCTAAATCTTTTCGGAATATTGTTGGATAGCAGTAAACAGATGATGGTGATGATGATGGTGAAGGTGATAGTGAGGATAACAGTGATGGTAATGGTGATGTGATGGTAGTGATGATGGTGACAGTGATGGTGATAATGGTACTGCTGATGGTGGTGATGATGGCAACGATGGTGATAGTGATAAAGATGGTAATAGTGATGTTGATGGTAAAGGGGGTGATTATGGTAGTGGTGATGATGGTGATAGTGGTTAGGATGGTGATGGCTGTAATGATGATAGTGATGATGGTGGTGGTGGTAGCAGTAGTGATGATGATAATTAAGGTAATGATGATGATAATGAAGGTGATGATGTTGGTGGTGATTAAAATAGTAAAAGTAATTATAATGGTGATGATGATGTTGATCATAAGAGCAGTGGTGACTGGTGGTGATGTTGAAGATGGTGGTGATGATGGTAACCATGTTGGTGGTCTGGAGATGAAAATTGTGTCGATGACAATGGTTACATTGACTCACTGTGGTCTTAGATAAAGTCCTTCCTATTCACTGAAGTTCAGATTTTTTTTTTTCATTTATTAGACAAATCTGTAAAACATCCACGCCTCCCTCCTCTGGAGTCTAAAAAGAAAAAAGGGATGAGAAAGATGCAGGGAAGACAGGGAAATGACTGCCCGGGGACAGGTAGGTAGAGAGAAAAGGTTGTCTAGTCACAAGTCAAAAGAGGCCTCTCCTGCAGTCTATCTGACTCTAGACAGGAAACCCATCCTGCCTCCTGCTGGGGGACCTGCCTAGTCTCCCAGCTGGAAGTGGGTCACCAGCTCAGCCTTTCTGGTGCTGACAGCACCTGACTTCCTGGCCCCTGGAATCCTCACCTGCTAATCACATCTACAGGCCTTCCCTAGGAGGAGTTCCCTCCAAAAAAAAAAAAACCCTACCCTGCCCCGCAGTGGGTCTGGAGCAAATCATTGTGTATCAGGTTTCCAGCCCCTGGGGATGAGTAGGTGCTAAAAAGAGGCCAAGCTGGATTTGTCAGAAACCAATCAGTTTTTGTGCAGAAATGTGCTCTTAGTGCAACCTGCTAGCCTGGTGTTTAGGGGTGTGAGAGGCCGTGGGAGGGGTGCAGAGCAGGGCTCTGGGAAAGTGCTTAAGCCCAGGGTACCAATTAGTACCCTGTTTGGCCTCCAGAGCCAGGAGAGGACTCAAATTATTGCTGTCATCCTTGCCTTGTGCAGTATCTATGAATTCAGTTCTCTACCCAGCTGCTGCAAGCTTCAGAAGCCAGGGGTCCAGAGCCCCACACCTACTTAGTTTTACTTATACAAGGGTCATGTGGTTGATCCTTACGGAAAAACTCTGCAAGCTGCAAACCACCAATAACATGCAACTTACCTGTGTGTGTGTGTCTGTGACCAAGAACATTGCGTGTACATGTGTGCATCTATGTTGCATGTACAGGTGCGTGTACACATACACCTGTGTGCTTGTGCATGTGGAGGTCAGAAGACAATCTTGGGCACCATTTCTCATGAGCCTTCCACTTTTTGTTTGAGGCAGGGTCTCTCGTTGGCCTGGAGCTTTGGCAAGCAGGTTAGGCTGGCTGGTTAGGGAACTCACAAAGACCTCTGTCTCTGTTGCTCATCTGGCCATCTTGGGAGTTACAAACACGCACCACTACTCCTGACTTTTTATTCACAAACTGGGGCCTGAACTCAGGCCCTTATACTCATGAGGCCAGTGATTTATTGACAGAGTCATCTCCTGGGCCATCATCTCCCCAGCTTCCAAGAAATATATCTTTAAATATATATTTAAAATGAGAGCCAGGTCCAGGAAGGGTCAGGGAAGTGTTCTACTCTCTCTAGCTTGTCCCTTCTGAAGGGTTCTCACTCGGCCTTGGGGACCACAGCTCCTACACAGGCTCCCTCTCTGCCTGGCTCTCTAAGTGAGTTCCCCTAGCTGTATCCCTGGCTCTGCTCTTTCTACCCTGTCCTTCTTCATGTCCAGGTGGCCTCCTCTATTCCTGCAGCCTCGGTGAGCAAGGCTCACATCTAGAGTGCAGAGGAAACCTTCTCAGTACCAGACCCCTGGAGCGTCTCTCCTTAGAGAACCACTGAAAACCAGTCAGCGTCACAGCTCGGCACTGTAAAAGCCACCCATCCCTTGAAGTGCCCAGACAGAATCCTCAAAGCCATGTGTATCAACTCCCTCATCTTACACGTCTCCTCCTCAGGAAGCCCCATGTTCTTGCTAATTTTTCCTCATCTGAACTATAGGCTTGGTCCTCCTCCAGGCCAACTTCCTCTCCCCTGGAGACCCGAAGCAGATGCCCCTCAACTCTCCTGCTCCACCTCAGTCCTTTGTGATCCCTATACTACATAGCCACCATGACGGCCTCTCTAACATGCAAGTCTTGGCCATCCCTGCTCCTTCCCAGGACAACTCTGATACTCCCATCTGTCTCCCTGAGTAAAAACTCTTAGAGGAGCTTCTTGGTGGCCTCTGTGGTCTTTGCTGTGGAAGTTCCCCTATCTACTGTGTGCTGCTTCCTTATTTTCCAGAGTGAATCACACAGTGCACCGGGCCTCAGTTTCCCCACTCATGCATTGTAGACAGTGCATGGCTAATGCACAGGATTCATGGAAGAACATATAGAGCAAGGGGCACCATTTTTATAAGTGTTATCATGATGATCTCAGGTGCATGTGAGTGTGTGTGTGCGTGTGTGTGTGTGTGTGTGTGTGTGTGCATATGTGTGTGTGTGTGTGTGTTTGCA